TGCCTGTTTCATATCCCCACCACTTTAATTTTCCTGTAGTACGTGGCTAGCAATTGAAATACCAGTAGTTTTGCCTCGTTCTGCATCTGAGATAGAATATTAAAGAAAAAAAAGTTTAAAAAAAAGCATGCCTTTGTTTGGGGAGTTAATCAGACCTGGTTCTCATCACCCATTAATAGCTGTCACCAGGGGTGTAGTGGTGACAATAAACAGATATTCTCCTACTTTAACTCCCTTTATTAGATGACTCATATCTGAGTGATAATAAATCAGCCCCACTTGTTGTTGTTTGTCAGAACTCCACGTATCTGTGTTAACCTTGCACTGCACTGTTACTTATCGAAGAATCGAGCTGGAAGTCTAAGATACAGGCGCACAAGAGACAGGTAACATTAATGTTTGCTTCACTCTTCTAACAAGGATCTGAGAGGGAACTGTTCAAAATGTAAAGTACAACCCCAGCTTAATTTCCCCCCATATAAAAAAAAATCCCAAATTGTGCCTCACCACGCTGCAGCACGGTCACCAACTTCTTCATCTGTCCAGTGCTGAAGGTTCTTTTCAGAGCAGAAAAACACTCTGAGGGTTATTCACAAAGCTAGCCAAAGGATCAGCCGTAGCTCTGGCTGATCCTTCGGCTAGCTTCGCCCGCTTGAGCCCTTCGGTTCAGTAGAATCAAAGGGCTGCTGTACGGGCTATTCACTATAAGCCGTACAGCTTCCGAGGCTGGCCGAGCAGCTCAGTCAAGCCAAGGGCATATGCTTCGGCTCGAACGAGCCGAAGTGAAACCCGAAGCGGGCCAAGCTGATGGCCATTGGCCAGCCAAAAGTATGGCAGCTAACAGCTGGGCGGAACCAGCCGTGATCTCACGGCTGGCTCCGGCCCGTTGCAATGACAGTTCAGCATTCCCTGGTTACCTGGTAACCAGGGGACGCTGAACTGTAATTACAATGAGAACTTGGCGGAGCCGGCCTTGATATCACATCCAGCTCCGCAGAGCTCTCATTGTAATGACAGCAGGTCCCGACCAATAGGAAACAGTTGGGCGGAGCTAGCTGTCACTGCTCGCTCCGCCCAATCATTTTCAACGTTTTTTTCACTGATTTTATATTCTGCTCGGTACTACGGAGGTAATGAGTAGAATAGCCGAGCCGAATGCTGCTTGGCAGCATTCGGCTAGTCACTCACTGCCGTTTAGTCCCTATAAGAATAAGCCGAATGGCAAAGAGTAGCCTGCCGGAGGTTCGGCTCAGCCGATCCTTTGTGAATGACCCTTTCTGTCATTCTACCCATTTCCTGTGAGCCCAGCCAGTCATCTACAATCTCCCTAGGAGGTGTAGCTTCACACAGGGCCCAAAGTTGAGCTTATCCCTAATCCCTAAAACATATACTTATTTCCTATGACCCTCAGCTCCATCTAGTGGCCATAATGCAATATTTTTCTCATTCACTCTGTTCTCTGTAAATATACATATTGAAGAACATTCTACCAGAAGAGAAATTAAGAAATTATACGAAAAACATTCACACAAGGTGAATGTACATGTAGTTTCACTGGACATATAAGCTGTGCATATAAATAGATCTCTTAGTATTTTATTCCTCTAAATTTATCTCTGTGAGATAATTGCATCTCTACACGGACAGATGAGTCTTACATTTATCAAAGAACACGTTTGCATATAATTGGGTAAGTCTGGAAAATTTTAGCTCTCTACAACAATAAATAGTTCAGCAATAAAACAAAATGTCTTCTCCATAAATATGACAATCACTGCAACTTTGCAAACATAAAACCCCATCAGCATTTTTCATTCAGTGTGCACACAATACTGCACAACGTTTTTGTAGTGATTTTTTTTACCACATCCCACATCAAAAGGTCTGTTTGGGGTATATCTACAGAAAATTGCCCAAAACTGCTAATGCGGCATGATCCATAAATGCTTCTATTATTACACACTGTCATTCTTCTGAGATAAAGAGCATCAAATGAGACCAAAAAAGACAGCAGATTACAGATGTCTTGGAAATATTACACTGATTATTGAATATTTCTACACACATTAGTGGGCTACAAATTGAAGTAGCAAAAAAAAGTGATAATAGTTTAGCCAGACTTTACATTGTGCACTGAATTTCCATCATTGGATGACGTTAATGTTTAAATGATTCCACATTGGAATATGCTATTATGGCTTCTTTCTACCTCTGCATTTACTTGTATTATTACCACAAGTAAATGCAAGGACATAGGGACATCCCTATTGTTTTTTCTTCTGCGTCCTGCCAGGCTCTTGGAAACCAGCTTCCCTATTCTATCCAAAACAAAAAAGTTTTAGCTATACACACATTTAAGCAAAGATTTAAGGCCCATTCACACCAAACTCAGACCGTAAAAATAAGTAAACGGAGGTCCATTGACTTGCAATTTCATCCTCAGGTGATTTCCATTGCATTCCATTGCCTCTTTTTTAATTATTTCTTTGTCAATCTTTATTTAAATTAACATGTCCTGAGTGGACAAACTTCTATGTATCTTTTTTTTACGTCTGTTTCATTACATGTGTAAAGGTGCCCATACACTGGGAAATCCCGCGATCGTACGAGAATCGTACAGTGTATGGAAGGTGTGCAACCGTTTCTACTGTACGGTCGCACGTCTTCCATCGAACAAGCAGGCTGGAAAACCCGCCGGGAATCGAACGATTCTCGGCGAGTGGCTGGCCTGCTGGTTCGACAACTGACGAACGGGCCGGTGTGCGCACGCGTACACTGCCCGTTTGCCGTCCTTGCAAGCCTGCCCCTTGAGGGGCGGGCTTGCGATGATCGCAACTACGATCTGCCTGTCCAAGATGGGCAGATCGTACGTTTTTTTAAGTACTTTACAACCATCGCAAGACTAAGGTCTTGCGTTGGTTGTAAAGTGTATGGCCACCTTTACATTGACATCTGTTTTTGATGCGTTACTTTTTTTAATTGCAATGCAACAGAACGCAACAGGTCACAGTGGTGTAAACTGACCCCATTCACACACATACATTTTTTGGGTTACCTTCTATTGGTATCTGTTGAAAAGCATATGCTAACGGATTCAGTGTGAATGGGGCCTAAAGGTAAAACTGAATAGGACAAGCAGCATCTTCACCCAAAAAAATGAATTGCTTGTGCATCTCTCTCTACAGAACAGTACAGCATGTGTTGCTCTGGCTTGGCAAGGAAGGAATTTCAATCAGCATTTTGAAGCTTCATAATTACACATCTGTGTTTTTTCCTCACACTTATCATCACTGACATTTGAAAGGTTAAGTGCTGGATGTGTGGCTGAGCTTGTGATATATTTTCTGCACTGCTGCCTTTCTTCACAAATCTGGGATTTTCACTCCCACATCAGCATGTCCAGGCTCTTTGTACTTTTTCCCATAATGCTTTGTATCTTATTCATTGATCACACGTGCCCTTTTCTTCTTTGTACCTGAAGCCTTCCAAAAACTCCCTTGATGTAAAATATATTGTTCTGAAAAGCCAGGTCAAGAGCATTAAAAAGTAGCCTGCAAATAAATGTAATCATGGCGTTGGGTGGTTTTTATATACAGTGTAATTATTTATGAGTCATTTATAAATGTGTTTCATTTGCTTTCTATTTGAATGGTATGTTTTTCTCAGCCTTTAGTCTTGCTAGTGAATAGAGGCAAATTAGTGCAGTAGATTATGCTGCTATTAGATATACATTCAACAAGAGACAGATTTTCAACAGGACTCCTCTCAGTGATTCAAACAGCTTGCCTTGCTGCACTGGGGTTCTGAGTGCAAGGTCCTCGAAGATTCTATCTGCACAAAGATTTACAGGAGTTGTCCCAGCATATACTATCTGGTTATAACATCAGCATTGTAATAGGAATACATACTAGAGTTGTTTTTGATAATGCAATCAAAGCTTACTTGAAAAAAATATTTTTTTATCTATTGGCTGCTCCCTTCTGTCTGCCCATCACTTTCACCAACTTCCTGGATTACCATTGTGCTTTGCGTCTCTTTCCCTGCTGCTTGATATGATGCAATCTCAATTTCTACAGACTATATAGCCCATCATGCATTGTTTCCAGCCGGCAACAGTAATGTTACATTGTTCTGATTCTAAGTGCATAATCATAGGACTGAGTGAAATTATGTCACTGCATTGGGGAAGTAAATCCTATGAGCATCTTCAATGGGTGGGTTCTAGATCGATATGGTTATTATGAGTGGGATAGAACTCATGGAAATTTAATATGGAAATACAGATTTACTTTTTGACCATAGATACCCTTTAATGTTTCCCTGTGCTTTAGTGAGATTCCACTGTGTGCTGCGTTCCTCTCTAAGCACAAACATAATAGTAGGGAAGTAAGTGCTTCTGCTGTATTATCCCTGATGTGGATAAGCCAGCATTACTTTAAACAGGACAATAGTTTGTAGGCTTCTTTAAAGCAGAGCTCCAATAGCATTGTTTGGTCTAG